AAGATACGATACTCGTAGAAAAACAGACAATACCACGCCCAAAGAGAAAACAACGAGGAAAAGACGAACAACAGTTCAGAAAACATTACACAAAAAACCAAAGATTGAAAAACGCGAACCCCACCAAACCCGGATTGAGCTTACGTACTTCGAACGTAATGCATTCTCGATAAGTGACACCCGTCGAGTTTTATACTGGTATTTCAATTTATTAAATTTAAAATCTCAATTATAGGGAAAACGGTACTATTACATTTTCCCAGCATTAGGTTGGCCTTTTGTGTACCCAAGGCAGGTGAAGGAAGTCAACTTAGGAGCGCTGTGATTGGATGTTAGGGTACAATATATTTTTTTATTTATCTATGAATGACTGCAGTGTGTATATTTACAATACAAATTTTGAAACCTATTGAAATATTTTCTAGAGAATTATTCGAAAAGACTTCAAAAATTTCATAAATTTGGTGTAAAATGACGGTGGGCATAGATAACATTAACAAGCTCCGTTGGAAGTTGGTCATGATACTATTTCCCTTCAATTTTTAAAACAGAATAATAAAGTACTAACACCACACATAACTGTTTTATCCGGGTTTTTATTATAAAAAGTGGTAAATTTAGAAAATGTTAGTATTGTCGCCTATGGCAGAATAAATAGTACCGTTTTCCCTATAAAGCCAAGCCTTACATTTTAATTATCGAAAACTGAACTATCTCCCGACAGGGCTATGTGGAAGAACCGTTACTTTCCCGGTTTTTGGTTGGATTCGTATTGCTCAGTCGTTAGTTTTCTTATGTTGTGTTTTGTGAACTGTTGTTTGTATTTTTGTTCTTGTTCTTTTTTCGCCATTTTCGGCAATTCGTCTGGAGTAGTTCTTATGGAATTTTTTCTTATCGACATCTACTAACACATTTAAAGTTGTCCTCAAGTAAAACCCATGCATTGAACTCGGAAGCCACCAATTTTTAATCTGATCAAAACATCAATTTTAACGAGCCCGCGTGCTTAGACGGTTTCTATACGTCCGACATAAGGCTTCCTAAAACAATGAACCCAAAAGAGCTCTGGACGAATTCGACATGAATCTTTAAATTTATATTTTCTCTCAGGACTGACAACTGTTGCTCTATAATATGTATAAAGACAAAACTGTCTGACTTGTCAGATCTGCACTTGATAGATATTTCAGACTTGTCGAACTTAACAAAATACATGTCTCTGTCGACCATACTTTCTAAACTTCTTTGGTTCCCTATATTATATTCATACGATCTGTTTATGAACTTTTTGGTGTCTTAGAAATAATTATAAGGCAGGTTTAGCTTGGGTGAAAAAACGAACTTCAGGCATCACTTTGATAGAAAAGCAATACACAGACGGTCTGAAAGTCTGAAATATCTTTAGATGTTCAAATATCGTTAACACATTTTGAATTTACACATATAGGTAAACAGAATCGCATGACTTTTTTTTGTACTCTAATCGGAAAAGGATTAAACATCTGAGGCTATCTATGGACCGTCTAACAATGAATAATGACTTGCAAAAGATGAAAATCTCCTTCAATGTATTTTTCGTTTGACATTATACGTGGAATTCGTAAGTTTTATCATGCAAGATAAGAAATAAAAAAACCCATTAAGGAGATGTCGTATGATCAAACAACCATCGGCCTTCAATTATAAGCAAAACCCATTTCGTATGGTAAGACATAAGACACCCCTAAATATGTAAAAAGTAATCATTTATACAAAAATATAGGGAAGTTCTAACTAGGACATGTGATAAATTACTCATCTTTCTAGTTAAATTACTATTTTTCTTGTTAGTTTAGTAGTCAATTAATTACCATGTAAGTTTTACTAAAACGGATGGTAACTACATGTACAGTGATATTACATGTACTTGTTTACCTAATAAAATCTCTTTTAGTTTTTTTCTTTAAGTGCACGGACAACAAAATGAATGAAATACTTGTAAGATTAAGTTCATTATGTTTATGTGGATACGATTTCAAAAGACTATGGATTATATACATATATGGAGGTATTTTCATTTAGAACGTTAGGTTATTCTTTTGACGAAACAACCAAGACGATACCAACTGGCAAGTTTCAATGAAATGCGCTTCAAGCCATAAAATAATGACCTCCTTTTCCCCGAATGTGACCTACTGAATTAGACTCATCACCGGCTTTGTACTTGTATGAGCAATACGACCGGTGCCACATGTTGAGCAGGATCGCGTGTTACTAATCTGTGGGTGAAAGTACAGTTTCAGTGGTGTTTTAAAGGTGGGAGTGAGTATTGGTCTTCAAGTTCTTTCAATATTCTTCGATTGATGTTATAAATTTGGTGCGTTCGAAGCGCATTTTTCTTTATTGACCTTTACCAGGAACTTTCAAATTCAAAATTTTGAAAGCAAAGGATACTTATGGCTTAAAAAAAACTGGAGGGGTATGACCGAAAGAGACTTAAAATGAATAACCAAATCCACCTAATGTCTTCTTTGCACGAGGAAGTTGGAAACTAAATTTCTTAATAAATTCTAAACTTGTTTATGAAATGTATGTATAATTTATGTCAGTACCAACGCAGCATGGACTACTTAGCTGATGAGACAAGCAGCGGAATCGAACCAGTGATAAAAATGAAAATAACACTTGATGCGTCAGAAGCGTTTAATTTGGATTTACCTACTCGAGGAAGCCATAAAACCAAAAGGTTTGAAAGCCAATGACGATATCTGAATACTGGAGGAGCTATACGCCTAAAAGGGGACTTAAAATGAAAAGACAAATCTACATAAGGCCAACTTCGCCCGAGGGAGGGAGATTGCAAGTTCAAATCTGAAAACCACCGGGAGGTGAAAAAAAAAATAAATATCTCTACGTTAAAATCTAATGAGACTTTACTCGATATGAATGAAAAAAGATGTGTGATATACGTCAATGAGGCAGCAATCCAACGTCACTAATATCAAAGATACATCTAGTGTCTTCAACAATAGTCACTTATAGGTGTCTGTGTAGTGCAATAAGTTAAAAAGGAGGACGAAGATACCAAGGAGCAATCGAAAATCCATAAGTAAAACAGACAACACCGTGGTCAAAAGAAAACATACAACACCGTGGTCAAAAGAAAACAGACAACACCGTGGTCAAAAGAAAACAGACAACACCGTGGTCAAAAGAAAACGACAAAAATGGCAAACAACAGTTCACAAAACACTACAGAGAAAAACAAAAATTTATTAAAATCTAAATAGTTCAGAGTCTAAAATAAGTTGTGAATAAATTAGTTTTATTTCAATTTCCTTTTGAAAACTTTAAACATATGAATAAAGTAAACAGAAATTTATTTTTGTGTCAATCTGTACCGAACTGCAATCTTTCTTATTTCGAAAAAATAAGGACTTTCTTCTCGAGGAATAGATGACCCCAGCTGTATTTGGCAAAATCTTTCGGAGTTTTGTGTCCGTAATGCTCTTCTACTTCGTACTTTTTAACTTATTTAATTCGAGCGTCGTGCCGATGAGTCTTTTGTAGACGAGACGCCCGTCTGGCGTACATAGTTTTAATCCTGGTATCAATGATGAGTTCATTCTCCATTGTTTTTCCTTAATGCAAAAATAATATTTGCTTTATATACAAATGAATATTTTTTTATTTAAGCACGTTTAACACTTCCGATTGAATTGATATTATTTTAAGGTGTTTTCTTTCTTACTTGTATCGTTATTGTTTGAAAAAGACTTCGGAATCCATTGTTTAGGATGTCAATGTCATGGAATACCACGTATTTTCTCTCAGCTTAAAGCATCTTCCCAGCTGATTTTTTCCCAAACAGAACTAAAACTTTGTTGTCCATTACATCTTTTTTTCGAAAACGATTGCATCACTATACCACTTTTGTCTTCAACAGTATATTTTATTTAATTTTTAACCCAAAGTGCGACTACAATATGGAAGACAAATATGGTTACCTTGATTTCTCCGTTTCATTAGTAAAATCGATGATAAACAGAAGGCTCAGAGTGTTAGGCTGTGTGGGAGGAATTAATTGTGCAGCCACGTCCGGTTTGAGTAAGTACGATTCCTTATAAAGAAAGATTGCCACCCTCTTTATACGTTAAAAACATTGCAACAACTATTTGAGTAGTGTAGGTGGAATGGTATGAGTAAAAAATTCTGGCTCTGTCGAAAGTGTCATGTTTTCGAGTAACAGTACACAATTTCTTACCCTTCCTCCCGCACGATCCACTGGATGAAACCTACTCATAATAATAGATTTATTACCAATGTCAGTGGCGGATCCAGAAATTTTCAAAAGGTTGGGCCCACTGACTGCCTAAGAGGGGGCCCGCTCCAGTCATGCTTCAGTGATTTCCTATATAATCAACCAAATTTTTCCCACAAAAGTGGGGGCCCGGGCCCCCTGAAAAACCCTCTAAATCCGCCTCTGAATGTGTTCTCGTCTTGGACATGCATGAACTATCTGCCACTGGACGTTAAGTAAGTCAAAATTTATCATTTTTTTCTTCAAGTCAACACTTTTTGAGAGATACAATGTGACAAAGGATCGACAGATTTTCTATACATTTGATTTTCTTTAGGATTATATCAAAGATCTTTCATATTAATAAAAGATTGTCTTCACATGAGCTACGATTAAAAGTGTGTACTGCTATTCAGTTGAATTTCTTCATTTCGGATAGAAAATGTCTTTTATCCCCGAACGGGTAAGGGTTAAAGTACTTGGAACTATAATTTAGTATACTTTGCGCACCGCAAAGCAAGATGGAAATGTAAAATGATAAGTCAAGCCTAACATTTATTTGTCTACAATCAGATCTAAAGACAATTCAAGTAGTACGGTTACACTATAGTTTTAATGGAGTCGACCTATTTTTTCCCCTTTTACTACTAGTTTATATAGTTGTTAGCAAAAACATGAAAACTGAATAGTGTTTCCTTATGATTTTAATGCATAAATGTCTTCAAATAATGTTTTGTGTTAAAGTGTATATTTAGATAGCAAAATCAGTGAAACAATTACGAAAACAGATGGTCATCGATCAATTTGAAACACTGTTTTAAAATCTTGGATTTTTGGACCAAGAATAAAAACACCGTTTAAAAATATTGGAATTTTAAACCAAGAATAACATAATAAACCAATTACTAGTAATTTGTTTTAATAATTTACGTAAGAGCTGCCTCAAATCCATCAATTAGATATTTATAATCATATTTATTGATGTAATGTCTAATGTTTTTCTGGGAAGTCTAACTTTGTTATCATTTCTTGTATTTTCATCAATATATTGTAAGCTGGACTTTTACTTTCATCATTATCTAATGATTCACACGAAGAAAACAAACGTTTTGGTCTCAATATGCATGGAGCAGACATTTTGCCTTGTCCATAATCTTCATAACAAGTTACGTCAGTCTGTGTAAAGGTTTCCCCTGTTTCTCTTTCCAGCGACGCTAAAAATGAATATATAAAAAATGCAAAATTTATAAGTGTATCTTTGTTGTACGTTATGAGCACCTGAAATCATTAAGGCCTTCCATAAATATTCAAACCTCTAGGTTTCGATTTGTATGCTGCCTTTTAACACAGATGGTTTTGCAACTTCTACTTTTTGTTTTTAATAAAAAGCGATGTTCCATCAAATAGGAACAAATTTCAGTTTTTAATGAAGCTATTGCCCTATTTGGATCGACCCTTTAACCTATCTTTTCCTTAATCTGATCTTATAAATAAACAGATAAATGATTTCTTCTGTTTTCATAATAAAATATTGATATTTAAGACATTTTTTACATGCATAATTTTGATTAAAAAGGTGAACCTTACTTTATATTTATTTTTAGAATTTACAAGTTAGTGGAGTCAGATATTTTGCCAACAGTAAACCTCTTTTCCAACTGTCTGTGACGTTATTTCCATTTCTTTACTGTATATTTATACTATATCCTCAGTTTTTATTGACTTAAGTATTTTGAATTCGGATTTATTTATATATGTCTGCTTGTAGATACATGTACGTTATATATGTTGTATTCAATGCGATCTTGTAGCGAACGCACAACCCTATTATGCGACTGTTTTTTTCTACATTATTTATATGTTTATATATATAGTGAAGACAAATTTTATTTTCGGAGGAGTAAACGATGGATAAAATAAAGTTAAATGTTTAATCCTATCTATAATATGGCGATAACTGATGGAGTGCCAGTCATGGGAATATAAACTAAAATATCGATATCTGTTTCTAGTACCACACGTGTTTTTTTTTAAAATTGTCTTGGAAAACGATAAACAAAAATGAGATTGAAAATCCAAAGGCGTTTACAGAAGAGCGAAAATTTGCAAAGTTCACTTATGCCTGATGCAATGATGAATAATGTTGAGATCTTCAGCTTTGTGTAAGAGCAGCTGCGTAATTCACAAACCTAACAATTAATGTCAAAATGCGTTAAACTACTAAATATTACGTCAGTACAAAAGGACTTGGAGGATTTTCATTCACAAATTGTGTTGTATTGTGTTTTTTGTTTGTTTGTTTTAGGGATTTTTTCCTAGTTTATACAGCCTTGCAAGTTAATGATGACAAACTTTGTCTTCGTGTATTATTTGATTTATTTTTTAACGTGCTTAATTATGTTTTTTTTTTATAGAAAACTTACATTTTAATAAAGCAGAAACATGACTCTGATCCGAAAGATCAAGCGCACATAGGAGAGCTTCGAACCCATTCTCCCTTGTCTTGAGAATGTTCAAAAGTCGACAGATCCGTTGATCATGAGTCTTTGGCTGTAAAACATATCTTTGCATTTTCAACGACATTACCCCAGCGGAAATTAGGTAAGGTAACAGAGGTACTTCTAGCATTTCTTCACACATCATACTGTAGTTTTGTTCAAGCACCATTGCTTTCTTTTCATCAAGAGGTTTACCTATAATAGTTTTAAAAGATGAAATAATAGCATAACATGTATTTCAGAAAAAACAAAATCATATAAAGCGACATAATATGATTCTCTTCTATTAATTATCTAAGAAATTCACATATGTTTATGTAATATGAAAATGAATCCTGCTTTGTACTAGACCGACACACTGAACAGGATTTTTAACGTGCTAGTTGACAAGCTAGGTAGCAGTTTACTAGAATATGTCATCCTACCTGGACACTTTATTAAGACTGCGGGCCGACCAGTCTTTGCACTTACTCCTTAATTCCGTGTGCTTAGCGGAGAAGCAGCAAGAACCATTTTTATGTCTTTAGTTTTACCCAGACAGGTATTTTACGCACGAATTTCCGCACTCGGGACGAGCAAGCTGCCACGAGACCACCGAGGTGGTCGCATTAAAAGAGAAAAAAACCTCCTATAGATTTAATTACTAGATCGACTGAAGAATAAGTTCATCCTCAAAGTGTGTTGCCTTTTGGCAAATTAACTAAACTAAATTGAAATTGAAAACAATGAACACGCACGACTTCAAAAGGTACAAATTATTCTTATAACATATTCTTAATGGCCAGCAAGTATCAAAAAAGGAATAACATAAGGTGTAATTCTACCAAATCATAGTACGTCATCCGGTTGCATACGAAAAAGGGTCGAAAAAAAATATTCCCTTGAATTTGACAGTTGTAGGAAATTAATCGTACATTTCATTGCAGTAAAAAAATTCTGAGTCATAAACATATATCTTGGGTGTTTCAGAGCACCATTATTTTTTTATTTGGTGTATCTATAGAATATTTTGGTAACTTGAGGTTACATGGTTACTAAAGCTTGTACACAGGAAAAAAAGGGGGTGAAAATTTGATTGGTTAACTTCCAGTGATGGTTATTTTCTTATTTGCAATGAAATATTATGTGAAATTTTGTCTATAGTACTGGACAGGATAAAACTTTACTCATGCCAAGTATTTCTTAATTTGAAACGAAGATAAATTCTGCACAATTTTTTGAAAAGTGCAAAATTAACAAAGACCAATAAGGGAAAATCAATGGTGGTATTACACCATAAATAAATTATAGATGTCAATTCACCGAAGTTATCTACCATACTTACATTTTAAAATGTCTGGATTAACATTACAACATGCTGTAACTAATGCATGGTAGGATGGTTTTTCAGTTCGTGTACTCCATTCCAAAATAATTTGATGCAAACACTCTTCTGCATCTGAGTACTCGTCTTCGATATTGCTGAGTTTATCTGGTTCTACTCCCAGTTCTCTCCCTATCTGGCGGAAATCTAGACCTATTAAACATAAAGGACACATGTTCAGTTCTCTATTACAGGTATTCAAGATGTATCAGATCTTTGATATCCAAAAGTATCGCAGATATTTAACATGTTTTAACAAGTTATTGGATAAAACATCTACAATATGGTCCGAGTACACAGTTATCGTCCTTTGATTTTCGTTGTCCACGAATAAAGTCCCTAGTGTGGACAGTGTGTTGCTTGCCAATTTTTTTAGTACCCCTTCCAAATGTATTCCTTCATGTTTTATGCCTCAAATAGCAAGTAGGGGGATGAAATTACACTGTAAAAAAATTTGGGTCATGAATTGTAAAGTAAAGTAGTGATTTGGTCCAGCTGAAAAAGGTTAAAAATTAGCACTTCGGAAGCTGTCAAAAGATTTCAAGACCCCCTTAACATAGAATTGTCCATATTTTGAGTTAGAGCCGATGAAGTTTTCTATAATTTTGATATAATTTGTCCCAAAAGTAGTACAACACACTGTAAAAATATTATTGAGAAAGCGCAGGTGGGATTTTTTTTATTTTCATTTATTGTCTAAAAGAAATGCACTACGAAATAACTGTGTACTCGGACCATATATACAGTTAACTCTCTTAAACTGAAAATAATGTTAAAATAGATTTATTAAATATATTGTGAAATAGTGCTGCTTACATCCATATCTGTCGGTCTCTGGTGGATAGTTGTCTCATTGGCAACACGATTACATCTCCTTACGTGTATATTGTTTTATTAATCATTATTTATAGAGATTTGACATTTTAAGAAACGTTTACTGTTGTAAGATTTTTCAAAATAACATGTTTGGGTGGATTTTCAGAGTGACCTGTTTGTGTGAATTTTCATGATACTTGTAATTGATTTATTCCAGACAAAAATGCGAAAATATATTTTCAAGGAGACCGTAGCTGTTTGATTCTAACTCCAAATTATCGTTATGCGTATTTATATTTTAGAAGATGCATGTTTTCATTTTCATAATGATATATTGTTTACACTAAATCGTAATTACATTTGTGTCAAAGCACAGTGTAAGGGGACACCCATTTGATATTCTTGTGTGGGAAGGGAGCGCAAGGATTTTGAAAATATTCTGGCTGGGTTATTAGAACTGAAAATTAACAATCTTGTCTAAGATAGAAAGATATGAATATCCTGAAATACTAAATGCAGCCATTTGCAGGATGATAATTGTGAACAGAATAGAAAATAATTATTTGCTCGGTTTTCCGAGAAAAAAAAACGAGAATCGCAGAAAGTAAATAAATTCCGTCAGAAACCAATCCTCCTGCCCCTCTCCCTTAGAATATCAGATGTCGACCGCTAATTACCAACAGTCTTTCTTATACTGTCACAAAACTCCCTTAGATGTGCTGGTAATTTTTTATCCGTTTCTTTAACTTTGCATAGTCCCTCGCAAAGCTTGTCACAAAGGATCTCTGAACGTTTCTGTGTACATAAAACTTTAGATAATATATCATCAATAGACGTAAAATGGTGGTTCTTGATTTCATCGTCTTCATTGTCTTTCCGAAAACTGTTTACATGCTTTTTAACCTGAAACATTTTGTTTATTTTTAGTTATTCATATGTTTAGATCACAAAAGTTCAATAAAAAGTTTAAAAAAAAACCAGATCCGAAGAATTTTCTTATCACTTTAAGTTTCGAGTGTTTCTGTATGATGTTACACAAGGCATTAAGTTCTCGTAATGTCGGAATTAACTAAAATATAACATAATGTTTGGATATTATATTCACTGAATAAAACAAAGAATAAGTTTTGAAAATTATATGAAATACTGATGTTCATATCTTATAAATGTCTCGTGTAAATTGACACAAAACACATCGTTTCGGTCTATCAATTTGCGATAGTGACCATAAATATTGCCTAGTGTTTATATTAGTCGTTTTTCCTAAAGAAACTACCCAATCATGCTTTTGCTTTATGAACACTTTTCTGTTAATGAATGACTTATTATGATGACATACGCGGGTAACGTAACTTTTGGGATGTGTGAGCTCTATACGGTGGGACAGAAGGCTTGAAGGGGAAAGGAAAGTTTACAATGTGAAAGCTAAAATTCTTCAGGATTGTCGTAAAAATCCTAGTTTGAGGTCGGTCATTCATGTTAGTTTCAAGAAAATTTTCCAGAAGCAGTTACCGTACAATGTACCTAAGCTCCGTAATGGTAGAGACACATACTTGTCGAGGGTTCAGAGTGTCTAAAGTTTCCCGTAATTTTGTCCACAATGAGATCTATTTTCAATAAAAGAAAACAAAAATTTTACCTTTTGCATTTGAATCTTTAAATCTATATTTTCTCTCATGATTGACAATTGTTGCTCAATAATGTTGCCAAAGACAAAGCTCTCTGAGTTTTCAGTATCTGGTGTTGATGGACATCTCAGAGCAGGTGAATTAAATTTCTCTTCCGAGATTATTTCTTCGACTTCTTTGCTTTCATCTATAGTATTCATAATCTCTGATAATGGTCCATCGGGTATATTAGAAATGGTATTTCCAGGCAATTTTTCATTTTTGTCCAGAACATGAACTTCAGACAACACTCGGTCAGTAGAAACGTCATTATGGCTGTCCAAAAGAAGCTGTTTTTGTTGACCCAAGCATTGACATTCCATAGGCGATTCTGGTGGTGTTATAGATGTACCTTGGTCTTTGACAATATAATAGTTGGTGCTGCTAGCGGTTGTTGGACAACTAGAAGCTTTGATTGACCTAGATCTTCTAACACGTCTTTCCCTCATTTCAAAATATTGGTCAGATGACTTCCAGTAGGCATGAATATTTTTTTGCAAAAGATGGAAAATCTGCTTCAATGTTTCTTCTTTTGACATAATTGGTGGTATCGGTAGGTTTTATTGTACTGATAAAGAGATTGATATACAATAGAACACAGAATATTATTTGATAATTATAATTATATCATATATAATTTTCTTAATGTAAATATATATATATTTCATATTCTATCATCTCCTTATTTTTGAATGTTTTCTGATATACTTCAGAGCCAGCGTTTATTATCTAGAATTTCCCGGTAGACCGTCTGTTGAAAGAGACTAAAGAATTTCCTATAGCTGAGGTTTGTCTGGGAAAACACAGGAATGATATTTTTAGAAATAAGGTAAAGTAAAGAAAAGCCACAGAAAATCGCCCCCTTTTATCAAAAAAGCGGGAAAGAAGCAAGACGATGCAATTCTCAATTCCCTCAGTTCTTATTTGTTACCTTGATTTGACTCTTTTTAATTGATTGACGAGATTTAAACTTCGATAAACTACCATCGCCTTATTTATTTTATATCTCAAGTACAGTTGAAGTGGATGTAAGCAATTATATTATAGGCAACCGTACGGCTTTCAACAATGAGAAAAACTCATACCGTATAGTCGGCTATAAAAGACCCCGACATAAAAAATATGAAATAATTCAATTGCGAAAACTAACGGTCTAATATACAGTGTCACTGTACAAATATAGATTTAGGCTAAATGAATCGTTTTTTTACATTTCATACATATATCTATCTAAACAAAAGTTGGATCAGATGTTGTCATTCCATTGTTTCTTTTTCGTTATTGTTCCAATGATTTTATCTGACTTAATGAAACATAAAAGAAACGTTTCGTTTCACACTAAGATATGTAAACGCTATTTGGAATTTCCAAAATGGTCGCCGTGAATATGGGAATTGCAGAAATGTGAAAAACATGAAAAAAATGTTTCAAATTGAAATTCAATTTACCGAAATGTGACCTGCCATGCATAGATATGTAGTTAGTGTTTCAACATTAAGATTTGTCTGCCGTTTCAATGAAAACTGCAAGTTCAGGTGACATTCGCTATTGCTTGCAGTTTCCATAGTTACTGCAAACCATATCTTTTAAATATTGTGTGCCACCGATTTAAAAAAAGGAGAGGTAAAAGTGAGGCGAAAGATTCCAAAGGGACATTCAAACTCATCATTCGAAAATAAACTGACAACGCCACGACTTAAAAAAGAAAAAGACCAAAAGACAAACAGTACACAAAACACAACATAGAAAACTAAAGACTGGGCAACTCGAACCCCATCCAAAAATTGGGGGTGATCCCAGGTGCTCCGGAAGGGTTAGCAGATCCTGCTCCACATGCGACAAAACATTGATAAGTCATATCTAGTAATTAGGCATCACAAAATAGCGGATTGGTAATTGACTCTTATCTAACCTTAAGACATCACCAAATTAATAAACCATCGGTAAAGTAAATGTTTTAATCCTAAAACTTGAGCGACTGTGAAAATTAAAAATTTATCATGACAAGGGATATACGAGACTGTTACCGATATTAACAACACGGACATTGAAAAATTAAAAAAACACAAAGAATAACACTTAAAACTAAAGCAATAGCAACACGAACCCATTTACAACAAAACTAGAGGTGACCTCAGGTGCTCTGGAAGGATAAACAGATCCTGCTTCACATGTGGTTACCGTCGTGTTGCTCATGCACATAACCGGACCCCATTAGATTCAAATTTTGAGATGGTTGACCGTTATGGAATATTTGTGTCACAGATGACCATGGATATGTTCCAATAGTCGTATCAACAATCCCGTACTCCTTTCCTCGATAGTGGCATCATCGAATGAGACTTATTACCAGATTTGTACCTGCAAGAGCAACACGACGGATGCCACATTTGGAACAGGAACTGCTAACCCTTCCAAAGCATTTGAGTTCAGACTCAAGTTTTCTGTGGATTTGTTTGTCTTTTCGTCGTTTTTCGTTTAAGATAAAGGCTATCTTTTTAGTCATTAACACTTGTTTTTTAGTACAACTTATTCATTCAAATATATAAAACATATTCAACATTTTTTTTAATTTGAAATATCAAATGACTTTAAATTATTAGTTTAAACAGTATTTTATTCAAATAACTTGAATTGGATAGGGCAACAGGCAAAGCCTATGTAAGCCCTATTCATACTTTAAATTATATATATTGGAATCGTTCTAAATTGATATAGTACACAAAATCGAAAAAAAATTAGGTTCACAAATAAATAACAACTGTTCGTTAAAGAAATTATAAGCTTGAATGAAATTAAGTCTTTTTTAGCATAACAAATTTATAGTTTAACAATTCTTTTTAACAGTTTGGACACAAATAATTTACTAATCTAGGTAAGAGGTAGTAAAAGAAAACGACAAATTAGTCTTAGAAATAAACTGGACTCTAGGATAAATATTTTTCCACCTGACCTTTGCAGTTTATCTATTTATTCATCTATGTTATTTATTTATTTATTTATTTATTTATCTATTTATGTATTCATTTATGTATTTATTCATTTATATTTTATCTTATTGAACGTACGTATTGTTCTAAACAAAATATTATCGGAATACCGTTGTTACTTGGAATTCAAATAGTCACTGTGTATTCTAGATTTTAACGTGAAATCAACATATTATCGAAGTACTCTTCAATTGTCTTTCCAAATAAAATATCTCATTTTTGATACTAAGAACTGAAATATTTGTTATAGATTTCCTCCATTTTTAAGCATTTATGTTTACAGAGTATTATAACTTCTGATTGAAAACTGATTTAAAAACATTGAGAAATATTTGAACTAAAATACATCAACGTCTTACAAATTAAGACCAAGAAAATGACTTATAAACAATGAAAAGGTGAAAAATTTAATATGCAGTCTCTTGAGGGATAACTCCCCTATTTAGCTGAACCATTTTTAACAATGTTTAGCAGACGTCGGAAGAAGTTCTAAATCATGATTCGTAGCTGCAAGTAAAGTCTTTTTAAGTATGGTATTTTTTTATCCTCACGAGACAAGGACACACTAGTTTTAATAAGAAAAGGAAAACAGAGGCAACCTTTACAGAATCATGATTCTTATTATGCTTAACCTTTGTGTTTCCCCAATTATATACCTGGGGATTATCATAAACTTGTTCACTTGTTACAAAGTTTGAATCCAGAAAGTACTCATTCCTGATCTTTGTCGTAATCGCTATTCATCAGGAATCCAAAGGCCGATTTTCACTTTTTTTTTTCGATTACAATTTATTCTGTTGTATTGCTATATTGCTTGGATATAGCAAATAAAATTTGTTTGCATGTAAAAGCTTTAATAATTTCTAAAAGTTCCTAATTCGTTCCCTAAATTTGTCCATTATGACCTTTTTAATTCAAATTTGACCATTTGCATTATAAATATTTTAATTATAAAATAAGAATTTTTATCTGGTTAATTAGATTGATAAATGTAGTTTTCCATTTAAACGTGGAAAAAAGAGCCTTCTGATTGTGAATGTTTAATAATCAATTTTAAGTGATACATTGTCATTTTTGTTTTATTGTCTTGAGCACATACGTAAGAAAATAATGATAATAATAAAAAAAAATCAAACAAAAACAAAACACAAAAACATGCGAATACACAATTTCGTGAAGTTTTGTACTATATAATACATACCCGCTGATCAAGTCTTTCTACCCTTTAATATAAAGAGCAACTAAACCTAAATTTTCCAAAAAATAAATATAAATTCGGTGAAATAGTAACTTACATACAATATGAACTTTGATAAAGTTCATATTGTAAATTGATAAAGTTCATATTGTAAATTGATCTGCAGGTATACTAGTATTACGGATGGATATATACAATCAGGAAGTCTTCCTGTAAAATGAAAAGTCCCATCTATATTATTGAACCCAAACAAAAGATGTTAGTTATGTAAACTTTCAACATAATTTTTTCCTGATCATAAGGACATAATTACATTTTAAATCGCGAATTACCATTTAAATGTTTGCAGTATAGTTATCACTGCAGTGTACAAATATAAAGTTTTAAAGTTTTTATTGTACAGGTATGTTATGCATTGCTTTACAATAAAAAAAAAACGCGTGGGTTAATATTTGGAAGGTTTAATAGAGGCGTATTAACTGATTAATATGATATACACGTTCCCAATAAAACTAGGTCTTTTATAATCTAATATTTGCAAATTGTGTTAGATGGATATAAAAAACAAGATCGAAATAAGTTGCGGATAATATATAACAGTTGATTTTTAGAAAGAAAAATATGTTTAAGATAAATTTTGTTTTATAGATTACGACCCAATTTGTCTGGGTCTGACTTTACTTTTCGTCCTTTGTAGCTATATCAGATCTTGAACGTTTCCATCAGGTTTTGGACTTTCAAATATTTTGGCCTCGAGCATCACTGAAGAGACTGTCATTGTCCAAATGCGCATTAGAAAATATAGAACTGTGAAATTAACATGGCAATAAGAAAACCTTTTTCCATATGACCTTTGCATTTTGTTAATTTAACTGTATATTAATTATTTATTTTTCATTTATTTAATGAATTATTGAAAATATAATTTTCTAAGAATATATTTGGCACTTGAAATTCAAATGGTCATTGTGTAATACGTATGGATAACAAAATCATCGTAGTGCTTGAGCTATACAATTGTCATTCCAAAGAAAATATCTCAATTTTGAAACTAATCATAGCTGTTTTATCTAAACATTTTAAAGATCTATCTTTACGAAGAAAATTATTTTTTAGTGCCTGAAAAGATTTTATGAGGTAGACGAATCTGGCTGTAAAATGATCAAATTTATTTTTCATGTAAAAACAAAAGGCCGATCGGTATATTGTCTCCATTAACTCACTGTTTTCACAGCTGTCATTCGGTGTATCGAGAAAAATGATCGTGAAAGAATAAGTAATGGTGGTCAAGCATTGCGATCGGATCGTGAAAGATCGGGTATCGGATCGCGAAAGCAATAAAAAAGTAGAACAAAAATACCGAACTCCAAGGTAAATTCAAAGGCCATAAAACTGACAAAATCAAACGTGAGACTTTTTTTAACCAACGGAACGAACGAAAAATAACACTTCAACGGCAAAATCTTAGAAAATATTCGTTGTATTATCATCAGGTGGAAAAAATCAGACAAAAGAAACATGTCTGTCAAAATGGTTCTACTTCCTAAATAATACTGTGCACTACGGTAAAGACAAAATGCAATACCTTTAAAAAAAAACACAAAAGGAGACGCATAAACCTTATGCGAATCATTAAAGAAAAGACACGTTTTGGATTTTCAATGGTCACATTCCAATAAATCATGATTTATTTCAAACTAAATCTTTTGTTTGTCAAATTTTATAGAAAAGAGGAAGTTATGTTTTCCTTGAATTGTTTTTTCCAAAAAGAAGAATTTACAAGATTTGTAATCAAAGTTGATCGTGAAAGATCAGGCAACGCACCATTTTGATCGTGAAAGCAATGCGTGACCAGACAAGATTTGATAGATTATGCTCATCGTTGAAAGCCGTACATTAACCTATATATGCTTACATCGACGTGATTTTGTATTGGCAGATAATTATTTAAAATATTTTTACCATTGATTTACTTTAATTGATTGAAGCTTGTGATATCTGCATATGATCGTATTTTTTTGGATGTAATTGACCACCATCTCATTTCTACAAAATCAATAATAAAATTATTTGTTAAATTTATATTTATATGCAAGTAGTACTTTAATGTTCATTCATAGAGGGAAAAACATTTATATTAAAAGTACAGCGCTTTCTGTTCATAACTTAACATTTTTTTTTAAATTATATATATTACCACATATAAAACTCACTTAAGATGCAAAACTAACTTGACTTTCAGGATTATAAGGCCAACTTGTAACAGTTAAGTGTCTTGGTATCTATAATGCTAAATGCATTTACGAATGTACAGAGCGAGAATGTGTCTAGAGGGTCTTACCTAGAAATACACATTGAATGTGTGTGCTTTGATATAGGTGGTGAAAATTTCAACGTACGTACCTCGAGTGTGGTGGGTCCGATTTCTTGGCTTAGTCTGTAAATCTATTCCCGATTGTGACAAGTTTGGCTTATCATGCCTGGTGATGCATGCATAATAGAAGACGTTTATCTTAAGGATACATCCGGTCTCGCACATTTTGGAGATAATAATTTACCATAAGGTTTTTTTTCTCGTGATATGTATCTTTTAAGAATGTTTTTAATCTAAAGGGATAGTCAATTCACGAGCGCTAAGCAAGCAGCACTATCCAAATCTAGGTCAAAATCATGTAGTGATCCTGCAAAAATATTCACTAATCAAAGAAGGAAAACGCCTGATCTGTTAAACAGAGAAAAAAACACTCCAAAGGTATATTCAAACTCATAAGTGGAAAATAAACTGACAACACCATGGCAAAGAAAACGACAAACAAACAACAGTACACACAACACAACATAAAAAACTAATGACTGAGCAAAACGAACCCCACCAAAAACTTCTGGAAGGGTAAGCAGATCCTGCTCCAAATGTGGCACCGTAGTGTGGTTCTTGCAAGTGCAAACTCGGTATTTTCCAAATTTCTCCAGAACCCGCTATTTAAATATTCTAAAACTCTCTGTATTACGACAATTATTTGAAAAAAAACGACCCAGCAAATGGAACCTTTCATACCTTTTGTATCATAAAATTAACATTAACTCGTCAAGGGTCAAGTTTGATGGGCAATTAAAATACATGCATACTTTTGATACACATCTGATGGATGTCATGGAAACCTTTGCTGAATCATCCGTTACAAAACAAAATGGAAAATATTTGTCCAAACTACTCTGGAGAGAAAACTGCCCAGAGTTGCCGACACCTGTGACGAAAAAGGGTATTCGTCGACTTCACTGGTGCTTTATGTAGAAAGTGAAAAAAAAAAACATTGACTGCAAAAGTTATATTTGCCTGCTTACAAGTACAGCAGCGCGAGCAGTCCATCTTGAAATTGTACCGGATCTAACCGAGAAGTCATTTATGATAGCTTTAAGGAGATGTGTGGCACGTCGTTTTACATCTATATAGACCTTTTACTCTAACAAATGATCAAATGACCGAATAGTCTTATTTTCTGTAGAATAACAGCCACGTACTTTAAAATGGGGTGGGGATATAAATTTAATCCTGATTCTCAGTTTTAAAAAAAAATACCATTCAAAAGAAAATTATTCTGAATAGTTCAATTCGATAAAAAATGTTAAAAAAATAATCTGCTTTCCGCGATAAAAATGTCATAAAATGTCATAAAATAAAAAAAAAAAAAAAAAAAAAAACGACATAGCATCCCCCTTTCAGAAACTAAGTTGGTACAATGAATTACTAACAAAATGACTTGTATTTTTCATAAACCGTTATTGAGCGGTGTCAATTCATTTGTGTCTTGCTTCATGCAGCTCCAATAATATTTTTATTGTGCCTGGATAATAATTTCTTATAAAACTTTATATCTAGATTAATTAGTGAGTTCTATTTCACATTGTAAATGAGCCGTAGGGCGTACTAAAACCTGAACGACTTAGAAAAAAATATCCCTCTTTAGTGTGGTCGGTAAAATAGGATCTAACTCCTGCAAATCTTTGCAGAAAATATTTTTTTTTACGGTATATAAGTCAGATAATGCATATTTTACAGTTTTTCTTGTCATATAACACACCTCGGGGTGTCAGTATTGCTCAAAGAAAGACCTCCCTACGGTCGGTCTTTTATTTGACAAATCCTGACACCCTTCGCTTTGTTATACGACAAGAAAAACCTAAAAATATGCATTATCTATAACTTAGTTCCTATTAAATTGTTGAAAGGTTAGTTTCTTTTTCGCGGTAAAAATGTCATAAAACGGATAACTGCCCACTTTTATAAAGTTAATATAATAAATAACTTACTAATAGTGACTTGAATTTTTCATATACTGAATCTTTTCTTTTATTTTTTGCATTATGCAATACCAGTAACATTTTAACATTTGATTTAACTGGATAATGATTACTTACGTTTATATCTCGATTAGTGACTTTTTATTTAACCTTATAATTGAGCCGTTGGGATTTGTTATACCTAGACGCATGATAAAGGAATATCCCCCTTGAATGTGATTGGTAAAATTGAGATACAATTCCCGCAATTCTTTGCAGAAAATGATCATTGTGGACGGTAAATAAGTCAGATAATGCATATTGTAAGGTTTTCCTGTCGTAATTAAACACCTTGGTTGTCAGTATTTTCCACAGAAGACCTCCCTGCGGTCGGTCTTTCATTTGTGCAATCCTAGTGACACCCCTCAGTGTGCTATACGTCAAGAAAAAAAAAATCAAAATATGCATTATCTATAACATTGTATTATTAAATGCGTTTAAGTGAACTGTGGAATATCAAACATCGCATTTCCTCATACACTATACAAACAAATATATAAAACATAATGAAATAAAAACACTAAAATGTGTTTTTAGAATTTTTGAGAGAATTAAAGGATATTTGCTAGACCACTGAAATAATCAGTTTTGTCAGAAATGATGTTGCTGTGTATCGGTGTATTGTTGTTTAAAATTAACGCTTTTATAACGCGAGTTACCTGTAGGAAGTCATTAATGTTGTTGACCGTTCAAACCAAGACTTTTTATTGCTTTAATAAGCTAATTATAGATCGGAAACCAATGCCAATACATACGTATAATATTTTTGTAATTCTATTAAGAATTTCGGTAAACTATTTTATAGTCGTAAATGCAG